CCTCCAACCCCTTCACACACACACACACACACACACACACACACACACACACACACACACCCCTCCACCAACGTGAACCTTGTGTAGAGGAAGGGAGCAGGGGCTGGCTGGGGGGTCGGGTTGCAGGACTTGTGCTACATTTGCAAACTGGGGAAATATATTTAGCCCTGGCTGGTCAGAAACAGGGACATGAACGCACCAAGACCCAGAAGGAGGCTTGGTATGCAGCCGTCAGCCATTCAATGGCCTGACTGACGTGGAAGCGGGCTGTGGCAGTGCCCAGGGAAACCCCCCTCCCCTTTCTCTCTCCCTTTGCTTCATTCCCCTCGGCCTCTGACCTGATCCCATTCTTCCCAGCCCCTCTCTCTGTCTCTCTGCCGGAAAAGGGGTATTAGAGAAATGATTAGGACTGAAGGTTGGCATTGATCTCCAAAGTTGATTCGACTAAGATTCACAAAAGTCAAAAACTGATACGGTTGTACTATCAATGTCGCATAAACTGTTTCTCAGAATTTATCTTGAATTTCTCCTACATGCATCAGGTCATATTTATGTGGCCCAATATTATGGCCTGAAGTGGTTTTACAGTAAGTACAGCATGGGACACACCCTTTATCCTAAGATCCCTCAGTTCATATATATATATACACATATACACATCACAAAAAACTAAACCTATAAAGAACAGCATCATTAAGCAAAATGCAATTTAATGGCTGATGAATAATCTCTATTCTTGCATTCCACTGATCTTGTGTGTTAATTTGTACTATCCCTAATTCTGTAATGGAGTGTTTCTTGCCTATGTACATTTATAACGCACCCAATATGCCGATGCCAACCGTGTGTTTGTGAGTCTGGAACTTGGCCTAACTTTTCACATACGAATCAGGGCGGCTATTACAGCCAGCTGTCATTTACAATATCTAAAAAGGAAAAAAATCGTAAAATAACCTTTTTTGGTTTTGCAACAATTGTTTTACTATTTTACACAAACTAGATGTTTACCCTTCATGCAATCCGAATTAAACCACCCTACCGAAACGTAACATTTAGTGCAGATATACACACCTTTTTCAGAAAATACGGAAATGCACGATCTCTTGACTTTTAAATTCTATATTGTAGAATTTAAATTGTAAATTATCGTTGTACATAATCACCAATATGTTTTGCATACATTTTAGAATGGTCTGCTACTAATGTGTGATAAAAGACATGCATTTATTTATTGTATACTAACAACTGTTTGGAATCAAGGCTGATAAAAGTCTAAAATAAATGGTGAACACGCAGATAGGTGTGGTTGAGGGGTGGTAGTGAAGGGGGAACAGTATGTCCACTAGAGGGCGACCTCTGACACATTGTATGGGCCTTCTCAATCTCAACGACCACACAGCTGACCTCCTCCTCCTCCTCCTCTCTGTATTAGTAGCTGATCAAGACAGTCAAATGGGGACCAGTTGGCTCCTCGTCAGGCCAGACACAGCAGCAACTGGAGCACCGCTGAGGTTCATATGGCACGACTGACAGGAGGACTGATCTTCTCTTCAGCATCTAAAACCTCGAGACCTTTCACATATGGCAGCCAAAGCAAGACGCAATATGGTCTAGAAAGAATCATTGGCAAAATTATGTTTCTTGGTATTCTGGTCATTTAAATCTTTCACTGTTCGATGGGTAAAATATCTTGTCAATACAATACAGATTGATAGTTTTCAGAGTCTTAAGACTTTTAGTTTTTGGACTTCGAAAATGCTTCTTTGCCCAGAGTTTTTTTTTGTATTGAGGCAAAAACGTTTGTGTTTTACATAAGAATGAAAACAATATAAACTCCTTATAAATTACACCACTTATCACACCACATCTATAACTTAAATGCATGGCATTTTACTCCTTTAATAGAGCAATTACAGCAGAGAGAGAAGGAAAACAACAAGCAACAGCTATACCTCAATTTGGAGGATAAATCCTCCATATTTCGAGTTGATAAATCAAAGTTGGGAATGGGAAACAAAGCTTTATGCTAAAATTAAGAGTACACACATCCTTATCAACACAGAGTGTCCAATAATCCACTACACCATGGTCAGTTATTTGATGGAGCGCTTAGGGATCTTTCAAATATACTGTGACAATGTCGCATTTAACCAGAAAATGGTGGTAATCAGTCACTGATAAATGTAGTAGATTAAGTCGACCACCAATAACCCACTGCAGATAACAATGAATGGCAACCAACCCTAAACTCTGCGTGTTTATTGGTTTATGTTATCAGGCTGAATATTAAGCTGATTACAGGGTGGTACAGATAATTCTTAAGTTAATTAAATGCTGTATGATTAATATTACCCCTGATTTATTTTGTCGTCTAATCGATTTTGTTTTGGTGATTTGTTTGAAGAGGAATTTTGCATCTTCTACCTCTATGCGTCTTTTTGAAGGACCCTCCGTTATGTTCTTGATCAAGCCGCTGAAGTGGGACACATCTGTTATGTGTTCATCATGACATGATTTGGTTTCATGTTATAATTCTAAAGTGTATTACATTTTGAATAGAGCAAATATACAATTTGAAGTAAATGTAATAATGTCTTTCAGCATATACTCAATAGTAGGGATGTAACGATAACAAAAACTCACGGTACGATAATATCTCGATGGCAAGTCCACGGTACGATATTTATCGCGATATTGAAAAATAAAGAAAAAAACGCTCTCGCTTGGTACTGATGTTGCTGGGGCAGCAGTGGTCGCTGGGAGTTTTTGCTTTACGCTGTGCGCGCTCCCGTGAGGTGCATGGATATCTCGGTGGGCATGCATAACACCGCCCCCCCCCACCCCCCCCGTTGACAGTTCACGAGCGTGCTCTCTTAGTGGCGAGTTCAGACCCGACAGGTAATAATGGATTATGATGACGGAGATTTTACGATCCTGTCTGTAAAAATTACGGACAGCAAAAAAGGTCTAACGCCACCTCTGTGGGACAGAGAGATATGCTTTGGCCATGGGTGACAGCAGTGGGTAAAACTGTGCATTGTCTCTCCACCACTTCAAAACAATACAGATTTTGCCAAGAAGGTGAGGCTTATTGACAGGGCGAGATATCAATATACTGTTGGTACTTGTCAATGTCTCTAGGTGTGTAAATGTAGCCCTGTAAATACCTTTTGTGCTATCTGTTGTTTTATGTTCATGTTGTAACCTACTTGTTGCCATGTTGGAGAGGTCTCCCTTGAAAAATAGATTGATGATCTCAATGGGACCATCTGGTTGAATAAAGGTTTAAAAAATTTTTTTTATTATTAATTAACCATGTAAATCCGGCTAGATTTTGTCAGTTCCACGAAGGATATTGAGACGTTGCTATTTATCGCGATACCGCGAGGTGTTCGGTATATCGTTACATCCCTACTTCCAACAGCAAACATGTCAACCTATTGGTACACCAGCAGCAGCACACAGGTCTCCTCTGACGTAAGACGAAGTGGTTTTTGTCCGAACTGGACCACACAAACCAGCACTGCACCAAAAACATGTCTCACACACACACTCACACACCACACACCACCACCCACAACACACACCACAACACCACACACACACACACACACCACACACCAAACACACACACACACACAACACAACCACACACACACACACACACACACACACACACACACACCACACACACACAACACCACACACACCACACAACACACACACACACACCCACCCACCCACACTTTCCTTCGTCTCTCCATCCCACTGTGCCTGCACACAGAGGGAGATCAGTGGCCTGGTTTCCATGGGAAAACCGAGGCTGAGTACCAGCCAGCTCTACCGTTGGCTGATTGTGGCTCTCGTGTATTTGCTGTGTGTGTGGTGAGTGAGTTCTGCACTGGCGTAGGTGTACTGTAAAGCCTATGCAGGGCTCTGCTTTGCATTGTTCAAGGGGAGGCTAAAAAAGGGCTATGTGACAGAAACCTATAGGGCACCTATTGTGCTTTTTCCTGTGACGTTTTGGAAAATCTTA